TTTCAAAATCAATTGCTGTTAACAGTATTGATAGTATAGGGATCTTAAGGGAGCTCTATCCCTTTAGAGTCATTAATCCATCCATCTGGTTTACATGCTGCTCTGATGAGAATCATCTCTGAGCAGCTTATGGAGTTTACTACAGAAATAGGATTAAAACATAAATTCCATAAAGAAATATTCCAAGCCCTGGGGAACATCCCAAACTCAAATGTTTCCCTTGTGGGGCATGGGGGGGGGGGAGGAGATGGATGGGGAACAATTTCAATCCAACCCTGAAAATTCAATTTCAATCCTTGAAAATGTCAGATTTTGCTTCTGCTGTTGCTGCTTCCTTTTTCTCCTCCTCCTCCTCCTCTTTCTTCATCTCTTCCTCCTTTTACTTCATCTCTTCCTTCTCCTTCATCTCCTCCTTCTCCTTCTCTTCCTTTCCCTTCTCTTTCTCCTTCTTCATCATCTTATTCTCCTTGTCTTCTTCCTCCCTTTCTCCTCCTCCTCCTCCTCCTCCTCTTTCTCCTTTTCCTCCTCCTTTCCTCCTCCTCCTCCTCCTCCACCTCATCAACCACCACCTCCTCCTCCTCCTCCTCCTGGCCAAAAGAATTGGAGCCAATCAGATCTCCAGGAGAATGCTACTCCAGAGAAGGACAGTATTGACTGAGAAAGCCCATCCCAATAATCCATGCAAATAACGCTCCCTAATATGTACACACTTATCATTATTGACATAGTTTCTCTAAAAAAAAAAAGCTTGACTTCAACTCTAATGCTTCTTCATCTTTGATTTAATGTCAAGCAACATTGATCTAATCTGTCCCCTTAGAGAACATGTTTTACCTATTGTCTCCAGCGCAACGTATTCAAAGGTTGGGTTTTTTTTTAACAGAAACAGATTTATAGCTATGTGTTGCCAAAGACATTCACCAAGATGTTATATATGGATGTTGAGATAAAAAAAATGTAAAAAAAACAACAACAACAAAAACAATCTTTTCTTAATGTTTGGGAGCTGTCACATCTTCCTGAATATCAAATACTTGCAGTTTAAACTAATGGACTCCTTATGATACAAGTCAGGTGAACATAAGGTTTATAAGGAAGTCGGTTTTGTGTTCACAGTTTTGGAACGCTGCATGAATTCTCTTAACATCACTTCTGTTGTTTATTCAACCCCCCCTGGATTCCTTTGTAAGCTTGAGAGAGGGGAGGTGCCTTTCATTGTCAAACTATATTTGTGCTCAGAAGTTCCTTCTCTTTGTTTTTCCTACATTTTTTTTCCTTAACACTAGCTTAATTTTGCGATTACCCTGTCTTTAGTTAAACTGCAAAGTGGCAATTACGTCGCTGTAGTCTCTTAGCAAATCCACCCCCTGATTGCCAATCCTTGTAGAACTAAAACAACACGAGGCATACTCAGAGGCTTCCTAAGCTTGGAAGGAGTTGGTGCACCAGAAAAACAGTGACGCTCTTCGTAAATTGAAATAGAAGGAATAATAGAGGATCTTGGAAAGAGACTTGGCTGGCTTGAACCCAGAACAGAAGTATTTCTGGATTTGGGTGTCTGTGGAGATTCTCAGTCATCCAGGTCATGGTTATCCCAAAAGTGTGTTGTTGTTGTTTTTTACAAAAGGCAACTGGACTTTCTTTGGTTTTCCTTGACGATGTTTCACTTTTCATCCAAGAGAAGCATTGAAGTCCCCCCCCCTCCCTTTGGATTGACCCATGCTTGTCAATAAATGTACTAATTCAGTTGAAACCATTGTTTCCCCCAAAACCTAGTTGCAAGAAAATCTATCTATCTATCTATCTATCTATCTATCTATCTATCTATCTATCTATCTATCTATCTATCTATCTATCTATCTATCTATCTATCTATCTAATATTATCTCTGTCTATCTGTCTGTCTCCCTGTGCTCTTCGTCCAAGGCCCTGCGTATGCAGTTAATGCTATTTCAGTAATTTGAGAGTCAAATGAACATTTCAAAATCGATTGCTGTTAACAGTATTGATAGTATAGGGATCTTAAGGGAGCTCTATCCCTTTAGAGTCATTAATCCATCCATCTGGTTTACATGCTGTTCTGATGAGAATCATCTCTGAGCAGCTTACGGAGTTTAATACAGTAATAGGATTAAAACATAAATTCCATAAAGAAATATTCTAAGCCCTGGGGAACATCCCAAACTCAAATGCTTCCCTTACGGGGCATGGGGGGGGGGGGTGAGGAGATGGATGGGGAACAATTTCAATCCAACCCTGAAAATTCAATTTCAATCCTTGAAAATGTCAGATTTTGCTTCTGCGGTTGCTTTTGTCTTCAAATTGTAATAGCCTTCTGATTATTTTGGAAAAGACACCAACCGCATTCATGGCATTAATCTTCAAACTTGCCCAAAATGTCATCTGAGGCCTTAACAACAATGCTCTTAGGTACCTCTAATGAGAAAAGCGATTATTCTCAGCTTTTACATACCTTTCCTTTATCCATGACTTATTAATTCAAGGTCCAATTTATTCTTAGGGTTAACACACAATTAAAATCAGCTGTGCTTTACAAAAGGCAACTGAACTGAAAAAGCTTCTTGGATGAGAAGTCAAATGTTTTCAAGGAAACACCCCCCCCCCCAAAAAAAAAGTCCATTTGCCTTTTGAAAAGCACCTTTGGGACAACCATGACCTGGATGACGGAGAATCTCCATAGACGATGAAGATCAACTAGAATTGAAACTGGTTCTGTAGATTTCCATAGTTTTGAAATAGCCAAGTTCTTCCTTATTTGGACGTGATGCCATTTCCCATAATGGCCCCAAATAGAGAGGGGTTTTCATAATGCCCAGTTTTCCTGGGCATTTGACAGAGAACCAGTTTGAGCTACTGTTTAAAATGGGACAGTTGAGATTTGACTTTCACATGGAGGCCAACTGGATGTTTCTAGACCAGCCCCTCTTTTTCCACCTTAGGACGATGGCAATGTGAAACCCCTTCTAACAATATTCCATGGATTTATAGTTGCCCGAAGTCAAGACTGACTCAAAGGTGCCCACTAAAAAAAAGGCATTCAGTGATACAATGACTGTTCATTGACTGGCAGCACCGCCATGATCCAATGAAGATGGAAATCATTGTTTTTATCTATTTGTTTCATCCCAGTGCATCATTTCCCAGTCTGATGCAACTCCGTCAATACATTTGAAGGCGATGGAAGAAAAACACCTAAAAGAAACCAGAGGGGGGGGAAGACTATTTGTGATTTATATTCCTACCTTGAAAATATTGTTTTGAAAAACACCTTTTAAAAAACCCAATACATTTAAGTAATGAATCAGAAGGATAACATTAAGCAACAAAAAGCCTTACCAGCGTGCAATTATATTTCAAGAACTTTGGAAAATGCAATTTGAGAGGTGTGTGGGTGCTAATGTTGTGCTACATGATTACATTTGGATCCTTCTTTCTCGGTGAGGTTTTTTGTTTTCTAGGAATTAAGTGGTTTACTTAGAGTAATGTTTAGCTTATACACTACCGAACATAAGTATAAACTTCAAGAACCCACTCCGGTGTAGCAGAGTTATTCATAGTTCGTGGCTGGGAGATCTTTGGCCTCAAAACAATGGTTGTCAGGCCTCAGAAAAATGATTTAGTGGTGAAAATCCCCAAGGAAAAATCTTCATTGATCTTTATAATTGGAAAACCTGTCAATCAAAACTAATACAATACCCATCTGCTAAAAGATATGCATAAAGGTAATCCTTGACGTCTGATCACACTTGGAATGTTGGTTGTAAGTTGTTGGGGTCATAAGTTGAGTTACCACCTGACTGTCATTCTGTCCATCCAACAAAACAATCTGTATCCAAAATAATCTTAGCTCTCCACTTTTGACTAGATGTGAATCTGAGATGAGAACAGGTTTCATTTCATGCCTATATTTTGGTTTTGTCCTCATTTTAAAGTACTTACCTGATGTGTCCTAGAATTTTTAGGATGCCAGTTCTGAAAAACACATCAAAGAAAAGAAAGGGATTAACAATAGAGGGAAGATATATTTTCTTTCAAGTACCATTTGTATTGCTAACTTGGTAAATCTCTTTGACATTCAAATTATTTTTTTCCCTTAGTTCTTTGTGGTTTGGCTCTCTATTTTTTTCCCCCGTCTTCTTCTTTTCTTTCCCTTTTCTCAATTCCACCCACCCATCCAATAACTAAATGCCACAACTATTGTATCCTTGGCTGGTTCTAAGAAAAACAAAGGCAGGCTTAGGGCTTTTATATTCATTTAAAAAAAAAATCACATGCCATGATAAAGCTACCTTTCAACTACCCTCCTTTTTAAACATAAACAGAAATGGGGGGAAATAAACCATTATGGACCATTTTCTTTCCCTAAGGCAGGGGTAGGCAACCTTGGCTCTTTTATGACTCGTGGACTTCAACTCCCAGAATTCCTGAGCCAGCCATGCTGAGGGGAAAGGGAGAGGTTTCCATGCTGAGCCATGCCTACCCCTGCCCTAGGGGAAGTTAAGAAGTGGATTTGTTGCTTTAAGATCCTGCAAAGATCCTTTGGAAGCCTTAGCACCTCGCCAAAGCCTCAGAAAGAAGACCAGTAGTGATGCAGACTATCACTAGCAGTAACCTCCCATGGCCCTAAATCAAAGAAGAAATGGACCCCAGTCCAGCAGCTAACCCTCTGCCTCTCAATCCCTCTTCTATGGTTTCCAACAAACTCAGTATATTTAAAAACAATCAATCAATCAATCAAAACGCCAAGTCTATCAGCATAGAAAGGCAAGCAATCTCCAGATGCCTTGTCTACTTAAGAGAGAAATAGGAGGAGCCCTCTGTTGATCCCAGATGTTCTGGAGAGGACATGGAGGGAGGGAGAGTCATCGGTACAGCTTTTATGATTAGGTTACATATACTGGGTTGAATTAAACGCCCGCTTAAAAGGTGAGTTCCGAGTGTATTGGTCCTGGTTGATTTTTGTCCCTTGCATCTTGCAGATTTGTTCCTGACAACGTTGTCAAAATCTGGACAACCTCAGTTTGAGATATGGGTGAATCAGGTAAAGAGGCTCCGTGGGTCTGTGACAATTTGCCCCAGCCAACTCGCCCACGGGACAACCTCACTGCAGAGTTACAAGAGTTAACACTAATATCAAAGAAATGGTGGAGTAGAATCACTCAAGAAAGGATGCAAAAGGAGGGACGGAAGGAAATGCGAATGGCAAAAACGAAAAACTTATTTATGCATTTATTTTAAGTAATTAAATAGAATTGTTAAATTGTGCTGCAGCGAGTTGTCCCATGGCTGTGGCGCGTTGTCCAGTAGTGAGTTGGCCGCAGTGAGTTGGCCGTGGTGATTTCTCCATGTGTTCTGTCCCAGCCTATAGCCGTCCTTGTTAAATGCACAACGACAAAACCCCTTTTGAGAAATAGGCTGGAGACCCAGAAGAAAACAAAACCCCTTTTAATATTGGTTACAAACCTGCCAAATGGTCCAAAAACAAAAGCAACAAAAAACACAGTCCAAATGGAGGAAATTGTCCACACAAAACACAATGCAAAACAAGGAGTTAGTCACCGGCAACACCAACAGAACATGATCCCATGAAGTACTTTGCAACGGTTGCCTTCAGCAACCAGCATCGGCCACACCTTCCCTTTTTATTAAGCAGCCCCAAGGCATGGTTTCTCAATGCCTTCTCCTCCTCTCTTGGAGTTGCGATATTGATTCCCTCTGACCTGCTCTAGTTAACTGCCTTCCTTTACGAGTGTCTCTAATGACTTCCAGCAAATGTCCTATGTAGGATTACTGGCATTTAATTTGTTAACAGGCTAATTTTGGGAAGTAAAAAAAAGTTCCTTATTTTGGTACTTCTTTCTTGTGGCAGGGCCCATACTTTATATTGGTTCCAATGGGACTTTTTTTTTTCTTTAGTGGGAAAATGGAGGAAAAAAATAGTTAAATGAGAAATCAGATTCCTTTCTGGCTGCTAAAATCTCAGTGAAGGTCTAGAGCCGGGATGTCCAACCTTGGCAACTTTAAGACCTGTGGACTTCAACTCCCAGAATTCCCCAGCCAGAATGGTGAATGCTGGGAATTGAAGTCCTAAAGTGCTCCTCTGCTCTAGAGTACAAATAGCTACCGTAATCCCAGGACTTTTTTTAAAGATTCTGAGAGTGGCCATGGTAGAATAAACCTGTATATCTTCCCTTTTTCTTTTTTACTTATTAAATTTATTCTTTGTTCCACATTGAATTTTGTCCATTTATGTCAGTAAATCTAAGAGAGTAAGCAGTCACCATAAAATGCTAAAATAATTTAGTATTTTCACTCATTTGTTCTTCTTCCTTGAGTGCAAGGATCGTCAGCAATTATTGGTTTACACAATTATTACTAAAATTGATTCTTCCCTTGTAGTTAACACTGAAACCTAATTTCATTAGGGCTCACTTTGTCTATTAATATTTCTGCCCAGATCTTTAATTCACATATGGAACTCTTTTGCAAGCTAAGGCTAAACCAGGATATTTGTAACCATGGTTTCTCAATTTCGAAAACATTACGTTCATGAAACGATTGAAAGTATGCAAAAATAAAAAGGCAAACTATATTGCTTCCCTAAAATATCATGTTTTTCTGTTCTCCATGGGTTATTATGTTCATTGTTTTCCAACTTTTTATGAGAAATGTTTATGGATTGATTACCATTTTTATATTTTTATTGACAGGATGGGGATTTTGCCAAGCCTCATTACATAAAGGAAAAACCGAAGGATGCTGTTGTTATAGGACAATCAGTATTTGCTGATTTTGGTGAGTTTCCTTTCTCCTTCTCCCAAATATCTGATTTATATGCATTTTCTGTGTATTCAAGAATATCTATTTATGCAGTAAAAAGTTATAATACCATTTTATTCTGCTTCTTTAAGAAAACACTAAATTTCTCAATGTTATATTGATACAATGTTTTATAGGCAGTTTGTCAATTAATCTCTGAAATATACGTGAAATATTTAAATTATAATGCTTATTAAAATTGATAAAACATGCCCATGTTTTAAAACATAAATACCAGTTATTAAACTTGCTTAACTTTCTGGGAATCTAATTTTGAACAATCTTTCGCAAGCAACAGATTTTTTGTGGAGAGAAATAATACTTTTAATAAAGGGCCATATTAGGAATTAATATGTATTTTTAACAATTCCAAAATGTCATTGTTGTCATTAAATATGATAGCAGGTGCTTTATGCATTACTTCTCACTTTGTTTTGTATTGGATCATCAACATGTTTGTTTATCTCTCTTTATGTCCTTGTTAAAATAGCTTATTGTATATTTAGTGTGATAAATTTTAAAATATAATAATAAAACTTAAAAGTCCAGATTCAGAATCTGGTTTCTGTTAAAAAAGGAAACATAATTGCTCCTCCATTTTGTTTCTGCTGATAAGAATATAAAGTGAATTCTACATTACTTTTTTCATCTAAATCTTGGTCAGTAACCAAAGCTGAGCAAACTGTGAGCTGAAGTTCTGATTTTTAAAATGTCAGGGAATTATCTACATACTTTGATCTTCCCAAGCACAATTGTTCTCATCATCTGTTTTCTAATATCTCTAAAGTGAGGGAGAGGATTTTATTAACTAGATTTTTCTTGGCCTTTTGGCTAAGATTAAGCATAAGAGATGATTAACCAAGATCTTGAAAGTGTTATTCTTCCTAAGAAACAAAGTGCCTGTTTATTTGAAATTAAACAATGGCAGCATCCTACACTAATTTGTTCCCTTCTAAAGAAATGCTTGAAAGTCCCATAAATATTTTGACACATTTACGCTTGACCTTTAGTTAAATACCATCACTCCTGAGTAAGTGTCCAGAGGGGGGGTCTCTGAACTGTAACTCTTGCTATAGAAGGAGCTAAAATTGGATTAAAATGAGATTTTATTTTAATTATTCTATTTGTACACTACTACCAATCTGCTAGGAATTTTGGGCGGCTCGCGGTAATATTTACATATACTGTTAACTTCTTTTAAAAAAGAAAGAAAGGTCCATTATAGGCAAGTAAAGGTGGAAACGTAGCAATCCTAAATAATGTAATGGGGTTTTTTTATCCTTGGGTTGTTTTTTTTTTGCGTGTGGAGGGTTATATTAATCTGTCATAGAGAGCTGTTAACGATCCTTCAAAAGCAGATGGTATTGAAAAATGCCACGAATGCTAATAAGCATGAAGCCTGCATCAAATACATTTGTTTGCTGATGAAAGATGTAAATAAGTTTAATCTGATTAGAATTTCATTTTATCGAGTGCCAACTCCTGACAGCCAAAGGGCAGATGTAATTTTAGAAAGAAAGAAAAAAGCCATATTTTAAGAAGACGCGAATTCGCTTAAATTTCAAAGATGCGACGGAGAGGGAGAGAAGCTTCTAAGCAAGGCTTTCAAATGTGTAACGTTTCCATACCATTTGCCATTGGAGTTATACTTTTTAAGCCACAACGTCGCATCAAAGATAATAACAGCCACCATACAAGCGTTCTCGACTTACAACAGTTCATTTAGTGACCGTTTAAAATTACAACAGCACTCGAAAGAGGGACTTACGACCGTTTTTCAGTTATGACCTTTGCAGCATCCCCATGATCTAGTGATCAAAATTCAAATGCTTGGCAACTGGTTCATATTTATGACGGTCGCTGTGTCCCAAGGTCTTGTGAAGCCCCTTTGTGACTTTCTGACAAACAGAGTCAATGGGGGAAGCCAGAGTCACTTAAAAACCGTGTTACTAACTTATCAACTACAGCGATTCCCTTAACAACTGTAGCACACCAAAAAAGGTCATACGGTGGTGCAAAACTCACTTAGCAAACGTCTCACTTAAAAACAGAAATGTTGGGCTTCCATGGTGGTCATAAGTCAGGGACTTCCTGTATTCTTCGAGCGGATTGGTGACGACAGTAAAATCCAGTCATACATGAGTCATGCATATGAGTACTGTAAAGAAAACAAAAAATTAACTTGAAGAGCTAGGACAAGTGAGAGTTGAAGAATACTCGGCTATGGGAATTCAATTATGGTCCCTCAGCCTAGCATACTTCATAGGATTGTTGGGGGGCAAAACAATAAGGGTAATTCTTAAATAATTCTTGAGCTTTTGAAAAGTAGGCAGAAGAGAAATCAAATAAATAAGTACCAATAAAGGAGAAAATTTGTAGCCCAGGGTTGAAATGAGGGATCCTTGGTGCCCTCTTAGCTTGCTTGTTTTCTTGCAGACTTTTCATTACCCAATCTAGATAACATCATCAATGCTAGTCTAGCACTGATGATGTTATCTAGTTTGGGCAATGAAACATTTGCAAGAAAACAAGCAAGCTCAGAGAGCACCAAGGACTCCTCAAATAAGTATTATTTAGAAAGAGCCACCGCTCTTGAGGCTGTTTTGATCTCCCATGAAATTGCATGTTATTCATTTCCAATACAGTCTTTTGCAATTTAAGTTTAATGAAAATCCAAAAGAAAAAAAAAATAGAAAAGCCAATTTCCTTAATAGAAAATAGCAGCATGGGGGATAAAAACCAAGCCCATAGCATAAATGAGCTATTTCCTCTTCTATGAAAACCATTCTCAAACTCTTGTTCTCAGCTCTATTGAATAAATTAAGAAATACATCTTTAATCTCCATGTTGTTCCTCCGCTGCAATTGACTTCTTAATCAGTTTAAATTTTAATTTAAACTTTGTTTTAAAACGATATTTCAGCATTAACAAAAACTAAGCGATACCGTTTCACCCACATCGGTGCAATAAACATTAATAACTGGCAAATTAGTTGTCCTATGACTCATTTTTATTAAATCATGTCCTCAGTGGTATCCATTTTGGAGTTACAGCATCTATAGTATCTTTACATGCAAAGTGACTGGGACTGATTAAAATACCTTTTAATAAAGTTGCTTTTAATGTCTAGAGACCGTTGCAATTTAGGAATGTATTCATCTTCCACTGTCGGAGTTAAAAACTCATCTCTGAGCTGCTACTAAACTAAGTTTTAGGTTTAGTAAAAAGCTTCATTCTCATTGTAAGCACAAAGAAAAGTATACATTTGTGTCTGAGTTTTTCATCAACATTTTTTTTATAGAGGCAAAATATGTTGCAAAAATGCAATTGTAATAGTAAAATAACAAATCAATAACATGAAAACAATAAACATGCTGTAAAGACTTACCCACTTGTATTTCATTAGTCTCTGTCCTCATTTCCTCATGTCCTCTGTTCTACATTTAGGCAAGAAAAACCAAATGCACAAATACAGCATAGGTGGCACCTTGCTCAATAGTAGTAACTGTGAGAGGGACCTCGGAGTCCTAGTGGACAATCACTTAAATATGAGCCAGCAGTGTGCTGCAGCTGCCAAAAAGGCCAACACAGTGCTAGGCTGCATTAACAGAGGGATAGAATCAAGATCACGTGAAGTGTTAATACCAATTTACAACGCCTTGGTAAGGCCACACTTGGAATACTGCATCCAGTTTTGGTCACCGCGATGTAAAAAAGATGTTGAGACTCTAGAAAGAGTACAACAATGATGATTAGGGGACTGGAGGCTAAAGCATATGAGGAACGGCTGCTGGAATTGGGTATGTCTAGTTTAATGAAGAGAAGGACGAGGGGGGACATGATAGCAGTGTTCCAATATCTAAGGGGCTGCCATAAAGAAGAGGGAGTCAAGCTATTTTCCAAAGCGCCTGGAGGCAGGACAAGAAGCAACGGGTGGAAACTAATCAAGGAGAGAAGCAACTTAGAACTAAGGAGAAACTTCCTGACAGTTAGAACAATTAACCAGTGGAACAACCTGCCTCCAGAAGCGGTGAATGCTCCAACACTGGAAGTTTTAAAGAAGAGACTGGACAGCCATTTGTCCGAAATGGTATAGGGTTTCCTGCCTGAGCAGGGGGTTGGACCAGATGACCTTCAAGGTCCCTTCCAACTTTACTACTACTACTACTACTACTACTACTACTACTACTACTACTACTACTATTATTATTATTATTATTATTATTATTATTATTATTATTATTATTATTATTATTATTATTATTATTATTATCATCCTAGTCACGAGATGAAATGAAGGCCACCCAACAATCTTAATTATCCTAAAGGAAAATTAATTGAAATCCTGCTTGAGTAGAGTCAATTCGGTGAGACAAGTTGGTCCTGATTAAATGCAACTCAGTCGATCTGTTCTAAACCGAGGCACAATGCTGAGCTTGTCAGCTGGAGAGCTGACAGCCAGGTTTGAGACCTGAGTGCCATGCGACAGGGTGAGCTCCTGTTCCTTGCTCCAGCTCCTGCCCACCTACCAGTTCGAAAGCATGCAAATGTGAGTAGATAAATGAGTGTGCCTTTGGCGTATAGCCATGCTGGCCACACAACCATGAAAATTGTCTTCACGCAATGCTGGCTCCCTCAGCCAAGAAATGGAGATGAACACCGCGCTCTAGAGTCGGACTCAACTGGACAGGGAAACCGTTATCTTTTACTCCAAGCCTCTTAGTTTAGATCAGGGGTGTCAAACTGCCGGTCCACGGGCCGGATGTATCACGCGGAAGCCACACCCACCCCAGCTCCAGCAAGGGAGGAAGTCACGATATATCGCGACACATCACGTGACGCGGTGAGTTTGACACCCCTGGTTTAGATCAACCCAATGTTTTCTACAGATTGGTCAGTTGATATAAGAAACTGCACATTTTCAAGATGCGAAAAATTAGAGCTTTCTTTGGGGAGCCGTGTGTGTGTGTGTTCTG